ACTTTTTCAAAAACAAAAGCCGAGGAGCCCTTAAGTTTCTTTTGAACATCCTAAAGATTCTTTGAAACTTTTTCGAAATCGAGATACTACGAGCCCTCAAGATATTTTTAAGCTTTTTCGAGAATGAAACACTAGTGCCTTCAAGATTCTTTTAAGTTCTTTCGAGAACGAAACACCAGGAATTATTAAGATTCTTTATTATTTTTTTGAAAATGAAACACCAAAAGCCCTCAAGATTATCTTAAGCTTTTTCAAAAACAAAATACGAGGAGCCCTCAAGATTCTCTTGGAACTCCTTAAGGATTCTTTGAAACTTTTGAAAATAAAACACCAGAACCCCTCAAGATTCTTTTAAATATTTTCTAAAACGAAACACTACGGGCATTCAAGATTCTTTTAAGCTCTTTCAAGAATGAAATACCAGAAGCTCTGAAGATTTTTTTAAACTTTTTCGAGAACAAAACACGAGGAGCCCTCAAGGTTGTTTCGAACTTTTGCGAAACAAAACACCAAGAGTTGTTAAAATTCTTTTGAAATTTTTTTGTAAATAAAACACCAGGAACCCTCAAGATCCTTTTAAACTGTTTCTAAGGCGAACAACATCAGTCCTCAAGATTCTTGTAAAATTTTTCCAAGACGAAACATCAGGAGTTCGTCAGACTCATTTGAATTTTTTGAAGGCGAAGCACCAGGAGTCTTCAAAATTTTTTAAACGTTTTCTAAGACGAAACACTAGGAGTTCTCAAGATTATCTTAAACCTTTTCAAAAACAAAACAGGAGGAGTCCTCAAGACTCTTTTGAACTCCCTAAAGATTCTTTGAAACACCAGGAGCTTTTGAGATTCTTTTGAATTTTTTTGAAAATGAAACACCAGGAGTCCTGAATATTATCTTAAGCTTTAAAAAAAAAACACTAGGAGCCTTCAAGATTTTTTAAGATTTTTCAAAAATGAAACACTAGAAACCCTCAAGATTCTTTTAAACATTTTCTAAGACGAAACATTAGGAACCTTCAAGATTCTTTTAACATCTTAGAAAACAAAACACCAGCAGCTCTTAAGCTTCTTTTGAATTTTTTTGAAAGTGAAACACCAGGAACCCTCAAGATTCTTTTAAAGTTTTTTGAAGACGAAACACCAGGAGCCCTCAAGATTATCTTAAACTTTTTCAAAAACAAAAGATGAGGAGCCCTTAAGGTTCTTTTGAACTTCCTAAAGATTTTTTGAAACTTTTTCGAAAACGAAACACTAGAAGCCCTCAAGATTTTTTTAAGCTTTTTCGAAAATGAAACACTAGTGACTTCAAGATTCTTTTAAGTTCTTTCGAGAACGAAACACCAGGAGTTCTTAAGATTCTTTTGAATTTTTTTGAAAATGGAACACCAAAAGCCTTCAAGATTATCTTAAGCTTTTTCAAAAACAAAATACGAGGAGTCCAGAAGATTCTCTTGACCTCCTTAAGGATTCTTTGAAACTTTCAAAAATGAAACACCAGAAGCCCTCAAGATTCTTTTAAACATTTTCTAAAACGAAACACTACGGGCCTGCAAGATTCTTTTAAGCTCTTTCAAGAATGAAATACCAGAAGCTCTGAAGATTTTTTAAAACTTTTTCGAGAACAAAACACGAGAAGCCCTCAAGGTTGTTTCGAACTTTTGCGAAAACAGAACACCAAGAGCTGTTAAAATTCTTTTGAAATTTTTTTGAAAATAAAACACCAGGAACCCTCAAGGCCCTTTTAAACTTTTTCTAAGGCGAACAACAGCAGTCCTCAAGATTCTTGTAAAATTTTTCCAAGACGAAACATCAGGAGTTCTTCAGACTCATTTGAATTTTCCGAAGACGAAGCACCAGGAGTCCCCAAAATTTTTTAAACATTTTCTTAGACGAAACACTAGCAGTCCTCAAGATTATCTTAAACCTTTTGAAAAACAAAACAGGAGGATCCCTCAAGATTCTTTTGAACTCCCTAAGGATTCTTTGAAACTGTTTCGAAAACGAAACACTAGGAGCCCTCAAGATTCGTTTAAGCTTTTTTGAAAATGAAACTTCAGAAGCCCTCAAGATTTTTTTAAACATTTTCAAAAACCAAATACTAGGACCAATGAAGCTCTTTCGAAAACGAAATACCAGTAGCTCTGAAGAGTCTTTTAAACTTTTTCAAAAACAAAACACCAGGAGCACTCAAGGTTCTTTTGAACTTTAAAAAAAAACACCAGGAGCTTTTGAGATTCTTTTGATTTTTGTTGAAAATGAAACACTAGTAGTCTTGAAAATTCTTTTAATTTTTTCTAAAACGAAACACCAGCAGCATTCAAGATTATCTTAAACTTTTTCAAAAACAAAACACGAGGAGTTCTCAACAGTTTTTTGAACTCCCCAAAGATTCTTTATAAACTTTTTCGCAAATGAAACACTAGGAGCTCTCAAGATTATTTCAAGTTTTTCAAAAATGAAAGACGAGGAGCCCTCAAGGTTCTTTGGAACTTTTTCGAAAACCAAACACCAGTTTTTAACATTCTTTTGAATTTTTTTAAAAATGAAACACCACGAGCCCTCAAATTTCTATTAAACTTTTTCTAAAACAAAACACAAGAAGCCCACAATATTGTCTTAAACTTCTTCAAAAACAAAATAAGAGGACCCTTCAAGCTTTTTTTGACCTCCCTAAAGATTCTTTTAAAGTTTTTGAAAACGAAACACCAGGAGCTGTCAATATTATCTTAAACTTTTTCAAAAACAAAACAAGAACAGCTCTCAAGATTCTTGTGAACTCCCTAAAGATTCTTTGAAGCTTTTCCTAAAACGGAAGCTTTTTCGAAAATGGAACACTAGAAGCCCAGAATATTCTTTTAAACATTTTCTAAAACAAAACACTAGGAGTCTTCAAGATTTTTAAGCTCTTTCGAGAATGAAAGACCAGGAGCTCTGAATATTCTTTTAAACTTTTTCAAAAACAAAACACAAGGAGACCTCAAGGTTCTTTCGAACTGGTTCAAAAATGAAACACCAGCAGTTCTTAACATTTTTTAAGCTTTTTCAAAAACGGAACACTCAGAAGCTTTTAAACATTTTCTAAAACGAAACACTCCGAGCTCTCAAAATTCTTTTAAGCTTTTGTTAACATCAGGAGCTCCCAAGTTTCTTTTAACATTTTTCGAAAACAAAACACCAGGAACTCTCAAGGATCTTTTGAACTTTTTCGAGAACGAAATACCAGGAGCTCTGAAGATTCTTTTAAACTTTTTCAAAAACAAAACACGAGGAGACATCAAGGTTCTTTCGAACTGTTTCAAAAATGAAACACCAAGAGTTCTTAAGATTTTTAACCTTTTTCAAAAACGGAACACTCAGAAGCTGTTAAACATTTTCTAAAACGAAACACTCCGAGCTCTCAAAATTCTTTTAAGCTTTTGTTAACATCAGGAGCACCCACGTTTCTTTTAAAATTTTTCGAAAACAAAACACCAGGAGCCCTCAAGGATGTTTTGAACTTTTTCGAGAACGAAACACCAGGAGCTCTGAAGATTCTTTTAAACTTTTTCAAAAACAAAATACGAGGAGACCTCAAGGTTTTTTCGAACTGTTTCAAAAATGAAACACCAGGAGTTCTTAACATTTTTCAAGCTTTTTCAAAAACGGAACACTCAGAAGCTTTTAAACATTTTCTAAAACGAAACACTCCGAGCTCTCAAAATTCTTCTAAGCTTTTGTTAACATCAGGAGCTCCCAAATTTCTTTTAAAATTTTTCGGAAACAAAACACCAGGAGCCCTCAAGGATCTTTTGAACTTTTTCGAGAACGAAACACCAGGAACTCTGAAGATTCTTTTAAACTTTTTCAAAAACAAAGCACGAGGAGACCTCAAGGTTCTTTCGAACTGTTTCAAAAATGAAACACCAGTAGTTCTTACGATTTTTTAAACTTTTTCAGAAATGGAACACTCAGAAGCTTTTAATCTTTTTCGAAAACAAAACACCAGGAGCCCTCAAGGCTCTTTTGAACTTTTTCGAAAACGAAACACCAGGAGCTCTTACGATTCTTTTAATTTTTTTTGAAAATAAAACACCAGAAAATGTTAAGATTCTTTTAAACATTTTCTAAAACGAAACACCAGAAGCTCTCAAGATTCTTTTAAACTTTCTCACTAGGAGCCCTCAAAATTCTTATAAAAACTTTTTCGAAAAAAAAAGCACCAGAAGCCCTCAAGAACCTAATAATTACCCAACGACATTTTCTTATTTTCTTGTAAATAGACTGTAGTAGATGAGATGTTATTTTCGCCTTCATTGCTTCCAAAAACTAGATTTTTCCGAAATCGATTAAATTAATAATGACAATTTTTGAAATAAAAATTTTATTTTCAACGAAAATTTTTAGAACATTGTTATCTGGAACCATTAACATTTTATGATTTTCGAATAAAAATCAGCTGCTCGAGATACATTCCCCAGAAATTTTTGAAGATTTTTAGACAACTTTTTAAAACATCTCAAATTTTTTAAGCATTTTTCGAGAGTTCTTAGAAAATTACCGAAATACCTTTTTTGACGTGAAGAAGTTAAATATTTTCGGGTTCATTCCGACAATTTTTTTTAACGAAATTTTTCCAAAATGTTGGTTCAGAACCAAGAATAGTTTATGTTCTTCGAATTGCCTCGAGATATATTTCCCAGAATTGTTTGAGGATTTTTAGGCAACTTTTCAAAAATCTCAATTTCTCAGTACCTCTGTATTAATGGTGCGTGTTGTGTGTTATATTATTACAATAAAAAATTTAAAAATTCGCTCGGTCGATTTAGTATGGACAGACATTGAAAGTAATAGTTGAAATCTTCCTCTGCTATGATTTCTTGTTTATTTTTGTGTCTACTATAAGTTATCGCTGTTATCATTGTGACAACGTTATACACGATAATAATACAAAAAATGTAAGATCAAATCGTGACATCGATAAGGACAATCAAAACTAATCAGACTACTTGAAATATTTTACTTACTTATTTTTTCGTTTTATACATTTGCTTGTACATATATATATTCTGTAGTCAGTTTTACGCTTCTATAAATTGCCAAATTTGTGCACTTGTGGAAAGAAAAAGTGCTTCTCCGGCCCTATCAGAACTGCCATTAACAGCCAGAGAAGTTCTCATAGCCCCATTGATAAAAGTGTTCGAAGGGATCTCCCACTGTTGCCATAGTGAGCCGTCTTTTTCAGAGACTATAGCGTAGTGAGGCGCTGTACGATTCACATTCAACACATACCTGGTGCAGCAATATAAACGCAATTAGCTTTTAAAACAACAGACAGTTTTCGCATTTTTAACGTACGTTGTCATAACTTAATAATAATTAATAAAATGCAATACCCGTTAATAACATTAACTAGATAGAACAAGTTCGTAGTACTTCCACATTTAATCGTCCACCTCTGTGCTGCTTTATTGGCGGTATCTTCTTGAATTTTGACATGATTTGGATCAGAACAATCTATTGTCATATAGTTGATGCCTGGGGCCCGCAATGTGTATATTTGTCCTGTATTGCAATCTATTGCCGGTATTGCCGGGAAAAGTACGAACACCATGAGCCATAAAAGTAACGTAACAAATTCAAACTAATAAGCAGATGTTTTTAATGATGATTTCTACTCAACCGCTTAAAGTAAACCATTGCTGCTACTAGGAAGATGATAGTTCTAGTACTCACTGATGAGTACGAGAATCAACACTGATAACCTTATCCAAATTTTCTGTTGTGTGTTTATCTTTCATAAGGAATTTTATTATTTCAAATCATGTAATCTCTAATCTTGTTCTAAAATCGTCAACATTGTGGAGTGAATGAATAAACAAAGCTGTGTTAAAATTATAATCAATTTCATTTAGCGAGGATCCAAAACAAATTTTTTGTTTTCAAAGTACTCCTTCTCGTCCCGATTCCGCAATTGCACCTGATTGTTAACTGAATAGTCGGAATTAGGCACATCCAAAGCATTTTCGTCAAATGTTGTCAACATTACAATGGTACCATCTGAATTAATAAACCAGCTCACAGGATGATCGGTACTGAAAATAGCCGCTCTTACGTCCACTGGATAATTTCCGACCATTACAGCTACAGAAGCAAGAAAAGCGCTGGAAGGCTCAATGACAGAATTTTGCAACTAAATTAGTCAAAGTTATTTTACCGTGGATGAACTTTGCTGTTAATATAAAACGTTCCAAGTTTTTCAGAAGGTAGCAATCTCCAGAGTTGTGGATCTGAATTTACGAAAGGCTGGAGCGTGATGTTAAGGTCGTCTGTAGCGTCTAAAACAAGAGAGGAGTGCAGAGGTCTTATACTAAAATATTTATCCACGGAAGTGCAATTGGTGTCAAATTTGGTGGTACCAATCTGACTGATGGCAGCTAGCACCAGATGGCTAGTTCTGTGGAAGCCGAAGTAAGATTAGGAAATAAATAATGACAGATACTTACAGTAACAACTGCATTTCAGAACATATAAAACAACAAAATCAACTGATAATTTCATGGTTCTAGAATTTGCGCAAAGTTGTAAAACTGATATCGTTTTATAGTTATGACGGGGAGTAGTTTTAACCCAGAAAATAAATAAAACTTAGATATAATTTAACCTTTATTAAACCTCTTCCGGGTATTAGTACTGGAAAATAAACTTCTCATTATCAATGTTATCATCGTCAAATCGATCCGCCAGCTGCAGGTAATTTCCTACTGAATAATCAGACCTGGGTATATCCAAAGCGAAATTATCCAAACCGCCGTTAAGTTTCTTTTGAACTTCCTAAAGATTCTTTGAAACTTTTTCGAAATCGAGACACTAGGAGCCCTCAAGATCTTTTTAAGCTTTTTCGGAAATGAAACACTAGTGACTTCAAGATTTTTTTAAGTTCTTTCGAGAACGAAACACCAGGAATTCTTAAGATTCTTTTGATTTTTTTGAAAATGAAACACCAGGAACCCTCAAGATTATCTTAAACTTTTTCATAAACAAAACACGAGGAGCCCTCAAGATTTTTTTGCACTCCCTAAGGTTTCTTTGAAACTTTCGAAAATGAAACGCCCGTAGCCCTCAAGATTCTTTTAAACATTTTCTAAAACGAAACACTACGGGCCTTCAAGATTCTTTTAAGCGAACAACAGCAGTCTTCAAGATTCTTGTAAAATTTAATTTTTCTTAAGACTCATTTGAATTTTTCGAAGACGAAGCACCGGGAGTCTTGAAAATGAAACACCAAAAGCTCTCAAGATTATCTTAAACCTTTTCAAAAACAAAACAGGAAGAGCCCACAAGATTCTTTTGAACTCCCTAAAGATTCTTTGAAACTCTTTCGGAAACGAAACACTAGGAGCCCTAAAGATTCTTTTAAACATTTTCAAAAACCAAATACTAGGAGCTCTGAAAAGTATTTTAAACTTTTTACAAAAAAAACACAAGGAGCACGCAAGGTTCTTTCGAAATTTTTCGAAAACAAAATACCAGGAGCTCTTGAGATTCCTATAAATTTTTTTGAAAATGAAACACCCGGAGTCTTGAAGATTATCTTGAGCTTTTTTCAAAAAAAAAAAAAAAAACACATCCTTCAAAATTTTTTAAGCTTTTTCAAAAATTAAACGCTAGAAACCCTCAAGATTTTTTTACACATTTTCTAAAACGAAACACTAGGAGCCCCCAAGATTCTTTTAAGCTTTTTCGAAAATGAAACACTAGAAACCCTCAAGATTTTTTTAAACATTTTCTAAGACGAAACATTAGGAACCTTCAAGATTCTTTTAACATTTTCGAAAACAAAACACGAGCAGCTGTTAAGCTTCTTCTGACTTTTTTTGAAAATGAAACACCAGGAGCCCTCAAGATTCTTTGAAACTGTTTCGAAATCGAAACACTAGGAGCCCTCAAGATTTTTTTAAGCTTTTTCAAAAGCGAAATACCAGGAGCCTTCAAGATTATCTTAAAATTTTTTAAAAACAAAACACGAGTAGCTCTCAAGAGTTTTTTGAGCTGCTCCCTAAAGATTCTTTTAAGCTTTTTCGAAAATGAAACACCAGAAGCCCTCAAGATTCTTTTAAATTTTTTCTAAAACGAAACACCAGCAGCCTTCAAGATTATCTTAAACTGTTTCAAAAGCAAAACACGAGGAGTTCCCAAGAATTTTTGGAACTCCCTAAATATTCCATTAAACTTTTTCGAAAATGAAACACTAGGAGCTCTCAAGATTCTTTCGAGCTTTTTTAAAAATGAAACACTGGAAGCCCTCAAGATTCTTTGAAACTCCTTCGAGAACGAACCATCAGGAGCTCTGAAGATTCTTTTACACTTTTTCGAAAACCAAACACCAGTTTTTTGAGGACCCGGGTGGGTTAGGTAGCATCGCGCTTGCCTGCCACACCTTGGGTCGTGGGTTCGATTCCCGCCCTGCTCTGGGTGTTGTCTATGTCCCCCGTTACCCTGTAATTGGGCCCCCGGCCTGTTGGGTAGCGTTAATCAATAAAATTAAATTAAATTAAATTAAAATTAAATTTAACATTCTTTTGAATTTTTTTGAAAATGAAACACCACGAGCCCTCAAGATTATTTTAAACTTTTTCTAAAAAACAAAACACAAGGAGCCCACAATATTATCTTGAACTTCTTCAAAAACAAAGTAAGAGGAGCCTTCAAGCTTTTTTTAAACTCCCTAAAGATTCTTTTAAAATTTTTGAAAATGAAACACCAGGAGCCCTCAATATTATCTTAAACTTTTTCAACAACGAAACACGAGGAGCTCTCAAGAGTCTTTTGAGCTCTCTAAAGATTCTTTTAAGTTTTTTCGAAAATGAAATACAAGAAGCCCTCAAGATTCTTTTAAACTTTTGCTTAAATGAAACACCAGGAAGTTTCAAGATTATCTTAAACTTTTTCGAAAACGAAACATTAGCAGCCTTCAATATTTTTTTAAGGTCTTTCGAAAGCGAAACGCCAAGAGCTTGAAAGATTCTAATAAACTTTTTCGAAAAGAAGACAAGAGGGGTCCTCAAGGTTCTTTCGAACTTTTTCGAAAACGAAACACCAGAAGCTCTTAAGATTCTTGGAATTTTTTTGAAAATGAAACGCCAGGAGCCCTCAATACTTGTAAACTTTTTCAAAACGAAACAGCAGAAGCCCTCAAGATTATTTTAAACTTTTTCAAAAACAAAACAGGAGGAGCCCCCAAGATTCTTGTGAACCCCCTAAAGACTCTTTTAAACTTTTCTAAAATGAAACACCAGGAGCCCTCAAGATTTTCTTAAACTTTTTCAAATTAAAAACACGAGGAGCCGCCAAGATTCTTTTGAACTCCCTAAAGATTCTTATAAACTTTTGTTAAAACGAAACACTAGGAGCCTTCAAGATTTTTAAGCTCTTTCGAAAATGAAACACCAAAAGCCCTCAAGATTCTTTTAAACTTTTACGAAGCCGAAACATCAGAAGCCCTCAAGATTTTTTGAACATTTTCTAGGACGAAACATCAGGAATCTTCAAGATTCTTTTAAACTTTTTCGAGAACGCAACACCAGAAATCCCGAAGATTCTTTTAAACTTTTTAGTAAACGGAACATTAGGAGCTCTGAAGGTGTTTTTAAACTTTTCCTAAAACGAAACACTAGCAGCCCTCAAACATACCCGCTGCTTTTACTCAAAATATTGAAAGTACCATCGGCTTCTGCAACGATTACCCCGTCTTTAGTGGCTTGTAACACATTAGTGGAGTAGAAAATTTTTATGCCGAAGTACTGATCCAAGCTGCTACAATCGCTGGTCACTGAGTTTATGTTACAGAAGTTCACCAAAAGAAAAAGGAACGATGATCTGCAGAAGGTACTAAGTTGGTGCAAATTTTGGTTTGGTTAGGTACTTACAAGCTGATCAGCGACGAGTACCGGGCCATTTTTTACGTTTAGTGACTTGGTCTGGTTTGTTTCTGTATATATACTGGTTACATCTGGACAAATCGTCAGTGTATTATTATCAATCATCTTTCAGAAATTTAGAGGATCTATCTTAAAATCTTGACTTGAGAAAATTGATGGTTCCTTTGTATTTACTACTTTGATTGTCAAATTGATGGTACCATATGTTGAAAACATATGTGTCAGATTAGAATGACAACATTTAACAGACTAATCTTACTCTCGTTGATTGATGATAGCTAGGTACTCACTGTGGAAATTTACGAATGGTTTGCAATACTAGAACGTCGAGAACGCCCGAAATTAACTTAGGATTAAATAATCACTCTTAGTTAGCATAACAGAAAATAGATTTTATTGTAAACCACAATATAGTTGCTATTGTTCTTGCAAAATCCACTTTTCGCTATTTGCGCAGTCATTCAATTGCAGACTCGTTCCCACAGTAAGGTCACCATTTAACCCATCCAAACACAAATTTGCACCGACGTTAGTAATAGTCCCGTCAAAATTAACAGCCCATTCTTCGGAGATCGCAACGTGGTCTCTGCGGTTGAGGAAAACAGAGTGCCCTGTGCCAATTATGTCAGCATCAAGAGCAAGACTACAAAGAAAAATCATTTTTTGTGACAAAAAGGTTGTCCCTTACTCAAGTGGATCAAAACTGAGGATGTTAGAAATGCCTGAAGTGGCAGTGGTCTCGACACACCATAGTTGTGGATTGTACCCAGTGAATGCTGTTAGGGTGACTCTTTGCGAAGTACTATCTAAGACCAGATTTGTTGTTCGGCTTCTTATGATGTAGCGTTTGTCAAAAAGACATAGACTCGTTGATGGGAGAACGTTTGCAGAAAGTATTAGCAGTAGAACACTGCAACTGTGAGTTTAGTTACGTAGTAAATAAAAACTGGTTTGAAAGAATTGTACATACCTGGGGGTTTTGAGGAAATTCATTTTCAATTTCGTGATTTCTGTGCTAGCGTTAGTCGATGTATCAAGCACAATGAAAAACATTTTTGAAACGGAGCTATATATAAGTGGTTTGAAAGAAAAAATGACAAGTGTTTAAAGCTTTGAAAATGCGGCTAAGTAAGATTTCGTAATAAAATATTATGTTTCACTGTGAAAAAAAATTCTGTAGTTGTTTACAGAGACAACAATTATGATTCTCAACGATTGATAACGTTTTTTCCTCTCTTAACAGTGATTTTTAAGCAATAATTGTTAACAATAACAATAGCACTTAGAACGGAAAAAAGTCAGTTTCGTTATTCCCGTGACATATAGAAAGAACTCAAGTGGAATACAACTTAGAACGAAATTAACTGTGCAAAATAATTATTGTTGGAAAACGGAGAGGGAATGTAGACAGTTACACTACTTGGATCCATAATATTCCTTTTTCGGGTTCAGAATAATGTGTCTATTGTAATAAATAAGGCTCAGATAATATGTAAAATGCATATTTTTGCATATTCTGCATATTTCACTATTTTTTTGCATTCATTGCATATTTTAATGTTAAGTGAAATCTTAATTTTAACATAATTTTAATGCAGTTGGTTATTGGCAGTGTACAGGTAAATAAGTACCGACCTTTTCTAGTAATGAGGATGGGTTTTTCCAAGACTTCATTTATGGGTACCCCCAATCAGACGTATTACTGGAATTCTCGCGTGCATTGCCGCGTCTAAGCCGAATGTTGTAAATATAGATAGTTCTGCAAATGTATTTAACCAGGGGTTGGAAGAGATCGAAAACCTAGGATGGATTTGTCTCCACACCTCCGATAGCGCAAAAGAAAAAGAGGATGAGGAGGTAGGAGACCACCTCTAAAGAACATAGCTACAGCGAGGTAGCTGCAAGTCATCTCCGTGTAGCTGTGATTGATGTACAGCATCCACTTGGTAACTTGACTGCTGACCAGGTGGAGATGATCGCGAGGTTGAGCAATTTAAATGGTACTGTTGTTTCAGGTACCACAGTAGAATCTCCAAGGACATGTATTTACATTCCCAGTAACAATACGCATACTCACTGCCAGCAAGTCTGCACTACCTAGCCCTTAAGGGGGAACGTTAGACGAGAGACAAGTTTGAATTGGGCGCCACTTGTTGCCTTAAACGCAACCAGCAATTCTTCTTGTAATCTACCTGACGCGCTGGGATAGACGACTACTGGACGTGGGTCATAAAAGCGTCGTAAGCCAATAATGCAGAATAATGATAATTTATGACAGGCGGCCCACAACATACCTTCAGCACAGAATAATCATTTCTCGTATTCTTTTGACATATTAATTTTAATATTCGAGATAATTATTATATTATTCAAACACAATTTAGACACTGTAGAGCAAACAAGGCTTATCAAGCCCGTCTATTAGTTTATTCGCCTAATTGTATTATTAATACCGTTTTCAAATTACACCAAAATTGAAAAATCGAAAACTTAATAATCTATAAATCGAGAAATTGAACAATCTAAAAATTAAACAATTTAAAAATCGAAGAATTGGAAAACCAAAAAATCTAAACCGAGAACTTGAAAAATCGAATAATCGAGAAATCAAAACATCAAGGAAAACAAAAAAATTAACGGAACATCTAGAACTTAAAAATTGAAAAATTAAAATACCTATCGAAAAATTGAAAAACCGAAAAATCGAAACATTGCAAAATTTCAGAACTGAAATACTGAAAAACTGAAAAATGGAAGGAAAATTGAAAAATCGAAAAAGTTAAAAAATTCAAAACTGAAATCTCGAAAAACTGAAAAATGGAAAGAAAATTGAAGAATCGGAAAAGTGAAAAAATCCAAAACTGAAACATTGAAAAATCCAGAAATCGAAACATCGAAAAATCACAATTGAAGAAAGAATTGAAAAATCAAAGAAATAGAGAAATGGGAAAATCAAAAAATCAGTTGATCGAAAAATTGAAAAATCGAAAAATTTAGAAACGTCAAAAATTGAAAACTGAAAAATAAAAAAAATTTAAAATCGTAAAACTGAAATATCGTAAAGTTAATAAATTGAAAAACTGAAAATTTTTGAAAAAAAAAATCGTATCAAAAACTAAAAATTCAAAAAATCGAGAAATTGAACAATCAAAAAATCAAAACATTGAAATCCCAGTAAGTTGATAAATAGGAAAATTTAAAAAACAAAAATTTTAAAAATCCAAGAATTGAACAACAACAAAAATCTAAGCCTGAAAACTCAGAAAATTGAATGATCGAGAACAAAAAATCTAAAATTAAAAAAATCGACAAATTGAAAAATCATGGAACTGAAAAATCGAAAAGTCGAGATAGTGAGAAATTTAAAAACCTAAAACTTTAAAAACTGAAAAATTAAAATATCCAAAAATTTAAAAACCGAGAAAACACAATATCAAAAATTTGAAAAATTGAAGAAACGAAATATTGCAAAATTCCAAAGCTGAAATATTGAAAAACCTAAAAATGGAAGGAAAATTAAAGAATCGAAACAGTGAAAAAATCCCAAACTGAAACATTGAAAAATTGAGAAATGGAAAAATGGGAAAACAAAAAAATCGGTCTAAAGAGTTTAGACAGTACTTCCCTCGCTATCGGAAACGTGACGACTGCATGTCTATTATGTTTTTTTTTCACATTAGATTTCAAAGCATTCGGTTTTGTAGTTCCTGATTAAATCAATAAAATAAATTTACGCATTCATTAATTTTTGGGGTCAGGTATATGCAAATCCAAAAAACATGAATGGAATGTTAAATCACAAGAAGAGACTCATCATATTTTGTACAATTTAGATAGGATTTATTCAGCAAAATTTTGAGGTGACGTCATCAATTTTTTAGAGGGGATAAGTAAATATATTGTGATTAAAACGGTCCTGGTTTAATAACAAAAAAATATTGTTCGTCTATAAAACAAGCTCGTCTTAGACAAAGTATTTGTAAAAAAATATGTCGTAAAAAAATTTACGTATGCTGATCCCGACTGCGATTATGGTTTAAATATTTTTTAGAAAATCCTGTCATGGATGTAGAAACATTTGTGACAGCCAAAGAGGTTTTTTTGAGAAAATTATCTTTGAATTTAGACCAAATTGAAATAGACACTAGGCAACAGACACATTTGGGCAAAAGCAAGAGAAATTAGGGTTACGGCTTCAAATTTTGGACGTATTAACAAACTTAGAGCGACTACAGCAATAGCTAAAACTGTGGAGTCTCTGTTGTACAGTACATTTAGAGGTAACAGTCATACATACTATGGACAGCAAAGTGAGGAAAAAGCTGTCAAGTGTTTTGAAATAAATAAAAATATAAAAACTGAACGGTGTGGCTTGCTTATTTCAAAACAATTTCCTTACTTAGCTGGTAGTCCAGACAGGGTTCTAGAGGATAGGAGTGCATTAGTCGAAATTAATTGGCCTTCAAAATCGCAAGATTTGTCTCCCGAAGAAGTGGTTAGAAAAAAAATAATCAAATTTTGTACATTGACAGACAGAGAACTGAAACTAAAAAAAATCATGATTACAACTTTCAACTCCAGGGACAAATGCTTGTTACGGGTATTTCACAAGTTTATTTTGTTGTATGGACACCCAAAGGAATAAATATAGAAAAAATTTATAAAGACGAAAAAATATATGTAAAAAGATGGCAGATAAACTTGGCAGATTTTGCTTTGGCGCATTATTGCCCGAACTAATTGATTCAAGAAGAAAGAGGAACCTGCCTTTGCGAGACATTTTTTTTAAATAAATAAAATTTGTTTCTATTTTTTATGTACTTTAATAATTTATTAGGAGTACATTTGTCATCACCAAGACTTGCATATTTTTATTATAAATATATTTTGAAAATAATCTCTCGGCAAATGAAAACATATACGAGCACTTTTTTCGAGCAAACAATGAAGGGAGAAGTTACTGGGCGTAGGGCTTTTTTAAAACACCTCCTTTCTGGGATAAGTAGTAGATATACTTAGCTACTTATACTTAATCATGTGTATTGAATTCAGGATCCTGAGTGGAGTAAAAATATTATAGTTCCCCAGTTTTAATTCGGTCTTATGATAGTACCTCATTGCGTAAAAGTTAATTTTCTTAACAATAGATGACTACGGCTGGTCCTGGCGGCTTGTTATAAAACTGAGTTCCTTTAGAACTCAGAATCCACTGATAATGTAGTCAAACTGACACCAATGTACACAATACACACGAAGTTAGAGTAGTTACATTGATTCTCAGTTCTAAATTAAGACTGGCAGAAATATCATCATCGTTACCCTCAGGACCCACAGCTGGATAAAATCCAAGATTAAAAATATCTCCTTACGAACTAACTAATCGGGCTTGGTACGCTGATCCACCATATTGGGTTACAGCGACCCAATTTTTGTTGACACTTGAAAAACAAAAAAAAAAAATACAATGTTACACAATTTATTGCACCAAAAGTTATATTTTTTCTTCAATGAAAAAATACTGAGATTGTACTTCTTTCTCTGGTTGGATTTTGAGTAAACCTCCTGGGACGAACACCTCGTTATGTATGTCTAATGTCCACCCTTTCCCGGCATTATTTGTAATCCGTCCGTCAGCGCTGAGAAACCATAGTTGTGACATGGATCCATCTAAATTATTATTTAGAGTAACTAATAGCGGGCTGTGGTTGGGAAGAATATCTACTACCATTCTAAAAAGTACCATCTAGTCGTAAGATTGTATTGCTTACCCAGTAGAGGCATACACAATATAAAATATTCCTGGTGCTTGAGAAGCACAAGTAAATGTAAACTGCTGGTCAGCTGACCCATCGAATACTTGGATAGTTAAAACCGTGGTGTTGGAAGCATCTACAGTAAGACCTGAATATCGATGCTTAATGTAGTAAATCTGATCCTACTGGCAGGCGTTTAGAACTGATTTAAAAGTTGCTAAAAGGATTAGAGCTAATATGCTACTGTAACAATAAAGAACGCAGATTTCTTATAAATAAGTATCTAATATACATACTAGTGACGGATGTGATAATGCCCCATGATTTTTCAACTACACGACAACACAAGTCAGTTAAAAAAAGTGCTACACTTTGGACCGGTTGCATAAACGCAAATCAAATTTAATCTCTGATTAAGAACAATTGTAACTATGATAATAACAATCGTTACTATGGAGCTAATCAGAGATTAAATTTGATTTGCGTTTATGCAACCGGCCCTTTATCTATTTTATTTGTGGATGTTAGAGTTCAAGTACTTTATTTCAAAATAAGTCTGTTACAAATTATCTATATTAATTGATTAACGTAATCAAACTGGTACCAACACAAACTTTTCAGGCAAAACTACACCAGATGAGTCGAGCAACTTTAGTTGTAAATTAACATCGGCAGCAATCTGACCATCCTCAGGATACAAAAGCGCATAAATTGCTACATTAACAATGTTCCCTTTCGTACTGACCATCCAGTCTTGAAACAAAGATCCATCATCTTTAGATGCAATGATGAAGTTGGGTGTAGCATATTGGGAAGTAAGCACCAACCTAAATAAAGTATCAGAAACTGTTACAAAGATTACAGAAATTTACCCAGTTGCCGGATTAACGATCTTGTAAGTCCCTACTTTGGTACTGCATCGAAACTGAAATATTTGAAACTGGTTTGCTGTGTCCAGTGGTTGTAATTTAACGTTAGCCAAGTCGGTGATATCCACGACTAGATTGTTGTCACCTTGGGTAGCAATGCGGTATTGGATGTCTTCGTGACATTCATCTTGGGCCCGATTGGTCGCGATTGTTGATAACAGACAAAAACAAACTAACAAGCTGTAACGAAGAACCTTATGGTGTTGATTCTGTATATGTTCGTTGGTACGTACCAGTGGAGGTTTATCATTTTAACTTGTTATAGTAATAACGGTAAAAGCAACTTTTCTTCACTGAGGTCTAGTGACAGTACCTCAAGTAGTGTAGCTAATGATAAGATAAGTATTTATCTTAAATAACGAGGTTGAAAAAGGAACCACCAAGGCTATAAAGGGGTAAGCTGTACGTCAGTGGTTTTGTTCTCTCAGTCACAGAAAAATAAAACAAGTAATAATTACTACACACTTTATGGAAACCAAAGTTATACTTTTTCTTCAATAAAAAAATACTGAGCTGGGGTATCATTCTCTGGATAGATTTTGAGTAATCCTCCTGGAACGAACACTCCCTTATGTACGTCTAGTGTTCGCCCAGTCCCGGCACTATTTGTAATCCGTCCGTCAGCGTTAAGAAACCATTGTTGTGTCAGAAAACCTTCTAAATTATTTAGAGTAATGTACTGCGGGCTGTGGTTGGAAAGAATGTCAAGTACCATTCTAAAAAGGGGCTTGTTTTCATTTAATTGTAAGAAGTCGTAGTACTTACCCGGTGGATGCATGCACAATGTAAAATATTCCTGGGGCTTGAGAAGCACAAGTAAATGTAAACTGCTGGTTCTCGGACCCATCAAATACCTCGATAGTTAAAATTGTGGTGTTGGAAGCATCTACGGTAAGGCCTGAATATAGATGCTTAATGTAGTAAATCTGATCCGATTGGCAGGCGCCTAGGGCTGATTTGGAAGTTGCCAAAAGGTTTAGAGTTAATATGCTGCTAAAGAGTGCAGATTTTTTTATAAGTAAAAGGATATGCCTACGAATATACATACTAGTAACACAGGTGATTATGCCCCATGATCTTTCTACTACACAAGCCACTTAAAATAGATCTGCTACACAATACCTATTTTATTTGTGTATTTTATAGTTCAAGTATGTTATTTACGAGTTTGTTATCACATTAAAAATAAATTAATTTTCTAATATTTCCTTTAAAATCAGTTTCTACACATTATCTACACTGACGAATTTTTACGTTCAAGTATTTTGTTTTTGAGTTTATTTCATTGTATTAGAAATGATTATTTTTTGCTTTGCGAATGCTTTGAAATTTTGCAGATGTTTTAAAGTTATGATAAGCATAATAAATTTTTAATCAAAATATATTTGCTTATCTCCTTCAAAAAATTTGTGACGTCAACTCAAAATTTTGCCGAATAAATCCTATCCAGAATGTCCAAAATATGATGAGTATATTCTTGTGACTTAATATTACATTCATATTTTTTGGATTTGCAAATACAGGGTAATTAAAAAAACTTTGATTTAGTCAGGAACTGAAAAATCGAATGTTTTGAAATCTTGGAGATTTTAAAGTTATCACAAGCATGGTAGATTTTTTATCAAAATGTATTTGCTCATCCCACCTAAAAACAATGATGACGTCAATTTTGCTGAATAAGTCCTGTCTTAAATGTGCAAAATATGATGAGGCTATACTTGGGATCTATCACTGCGTTAATATTTTTTAGATTTGCTTACACGGGGTGTCCCAAAAAAATTCGGTCTGACAACGAATGAAAAATTCATCACGATTGAAATTGAGACGGATGGGTGGAGCTTCTCTTTTGGTTTTCTTTTTTAATTAATACATTTAGTTTTCTTTGTATAACACGATTGTTTAAGAACATATTTCACATGGTAATTTCTCGTAGAAAAATAAGGATTTTACAATTAAGCTCCGCCCCTCGGATTACGACGAATAAAAAAAAATCATTATATTTTCCCTTTTTTTTAATACACATAGCCATCTTTTCACAACAAGAAGCTTAAAACATCTGCAATGGTACAATGGTATATTTTTGCAAGGAAATATGGATTTTGCAATTATGGGACGGAGTCTTTTTTCCCCTATACAAATTTTCCATTCTAAACATGTTTTAAGTTTTTTGTTGCGAAAAGAAGTCTATATATGTATATTAAAACAAAAAGGCAAAATGTAAGCCCGCCCACCCGCCCTATCTCAATTGTAATGATTTTTTTTATTCGCCATGAACCAAGGGGGCGGAGCTTAACTGCAAAATACTTATTTCTTTACAAGAAATTAAAAACATTTTTTGAGTATCTTGTTGTTCAAAGAATACGATGTATATTAAGAAAAAAAGACAAATTATATTAACCCCGCCCACTCACCCCATCTCAGTTGGTATGATTTTTTTAATTCTTAGAATCTCAAAACACGTTTAAGATGGTACATTTTTCAAAGGAAACATGGATTTTGCAATTAGGCTCCGCCCCTAGGTCTGCCAACGAATGGAAACTGCATTACTGTTTAGATCAGGGCAAGTATGGGTAGGGCTTAATCTTTGGCTTTAATTTTTTCTTAATATAAATACATTCACGATACTCAAAAACATGTTTTTATTTTCTCGCAGAAATAAGAATTTCGCAGTTAAGCTTCGCCCCTTGTCCTACGACGAATAAAAAAATCATCGCAATTGAGATAGGGCGGGTGGGCGGGGCTACATTTAAAAATTTGAAATTGAAAACTCGAAAAATTTTAAAAATCGAAAAACCGAGTGTCAAGAAATCTAATAAAAGGAAACAAAGAATCGTAAAATCGAAAATTTGAAAAATTGAAAAATGTAAAATTTAGAATATCGAAAAATTCAAAAATCGAGAAATTGAAAAATTCCAAAACTGAAATGACGAAAAATGGGAAAATCGAAATCTGAAAAATCGAATCATCGAAAAATTGAAAAATTGGAGTATCGAGAAAGAAAAGTCGAGAAGTTGAAAAATTGAGAAATCGAAATTGTAGTTCAAAATTGGAAAATCGAAAAGTTAAAAATAAAAATTAAAAAAATCAATAAATTGAATAATTTAAAAATTGACAAATCGAACAACCGCAATTCTAAGAAATCGAGAAATGGAAAAATTGCAAAATCTTTTAAATTGGAACATCCAAAAGTTGGAAAATCGAACAACTGAAAAATTTTAAAATGGAAACTCGAAAAATTGCACGTCGTAAAACTGAAGAAACAAGAAAATGAAAAATTGAAAAATTATAAATCGAAAAATTGGACAAATTGACATTAAAAAAACAAAAAATTATAAAGTCACAACATTGAAAAATCGAAAAATTAAAAAAAAACATAAAAAACCTAAACGAAAAATTTAAGAATCGAAAAATTGAAAAATTAAAAATTTAAAACTCGAAAAATTTTATAAATCGGTAAACCGAATGTCAAGAAATCGAACAAAACAATCGTAAAATCGGAAAATTGAAAAATCGAATAATGTAAAATTTAAAATATCGAAAAATTTATGAATCGAACATTGAAAAGTTCCAAAACTGAAGAAAAAAAGGCAAATTATATAGACCCCTCCCACCCGCCCCATCTAAATTGTGATGATTTTTTTAATTCTTAGAAACTTAAAACACGTTTAAAATGGTAATTTTTGGAAAGAAATTTGGATTTTGCAATTAAGCTCCGCCCCTAGGTCTGTCAACGAATGAAAACTCCATTACTATTTAGATCAGGGCAGGTATGCGTAGGCCTTAATCTTTGGCTTTAATTTTTTCTTAATATACATACACGCACGATACTCAAAAACATGTTGTTAATTTCTCGCAGAAATAAGGATTTTGCAGTTAAACTCCGCTCCATTGGTTCACCACGACTAAAAAAATCATCACAATTGAGATAGGGCGGGTGGGCGGGGCTACATTTTGTCTTTTTTCCTTAATATGTGTAGACTTATTTCGAGAACATGAAACTTAAAACATGTGTAAAATTTTATCGCAAGATTTTAAGAATACGTAGTACCTAGGAAAACCTTACCCACAAATTGTTTGATGAGGCCAACCGAAAATTTGATGACGTCATCTTAAAATTTTGCTAAGTAAATACTAATTAAATTATATGTATACAACTTTAGGTTCTGTACCTGCGATTTATTAATTCACCCCACTTTTAGCATCATGCAAGTAAATTTTTGAAAAACTTCTTTTCCACTAATGTTTTTCTAAAAAAAAAGAAAATCAGCGACATTGTTCTTCATAAAAATTCGCAAAGAAATTTTGTCACCCAGATAGACACTAATATTTGCATTTTTTCTTTTGACCTCTTTTGCAGTTAAGAATTCTTAATGTGAAAGTCTTATGTTTACAACGTCCTTTGAATTCTGTTCACATAATAACTTGACTGAAAATCAAAACAGTTTACACCCTAAAAAATTGTTTTATCAACACAAAACAGCCGAAAACGTATAACAATGATAAATTCAAAACAGTAAACAGGATTATGAAAAAATCAGTCAGATTACCCCAGTTTCAAGCAAATAAGTTATCATGAACAATAAACTTGACACAATTATCTCAGATAAGCACTTCCGCTGATCATGAAACCAAAAAACACCTCTGGATAATTGATTACACGCTTCATAAATACTTCCTTGTTGACAACGAGCGCAAAAACCTGAAAGCCCACAAAAGTAAGAAGCAGACCCGATCGGAATACTAATCGCTCCTCATTAAATTTATAAAGCTATAATTACACATTCTTCGTTGTAGGTCATGCTCCAGCTTCTAGCATCTTTTTTCATCGGGGAAAAAACCGCAAAAACACTTAATTGACATTACATAACCGAATAAAACCGCTAGTTGCATTCAACCCATTTATTTATATAATTTCAACTAACCTTTCTCATTCGGCTCAAACTACAACTATGTCTCCAATTTTCCCAAGTTATATCATCCCGTTGTCGCACAACCAGTGGCTTACAAGTGATCGTCGTCATCTTCAAAATCCAGCTTCAAGTAGCCCATAAATTATGCAAACTCGTTCATTGAATATCAAATTTAGCACGACATTGGCTCCTAATGTATTATGTATAAACGCTACTACAACCGATTATAACTAAATTATGACGTGGCCATTTTCATACAGTACCAACGCGCGCAATTGCGCAACGCGAAAATCGCCATAAAACGAGCACTTGAGCGAAATTAAAATTCCAGTGCCGGATTTGGCCCACGTAATGTCGGTGTAAACATCGCATAGTTTCGATTAATCGGGATTCGGTAAAACGATAAATAATTCCGTTGGCGATTGCCTAATAAACCTTGAGTCGAGGAACGTTGTTCTAAATGTGCGCTTGATATGGGCGCATCAAAAGGACGCGGTAATGAGGACAGGACAATAATCGGTGTGATTACGATGATTGTTCGTTGGAGAGATCTCGGAATAATTAGACGAGGAGTTGGGCCTTGCTATTTGTGTGGAAGAATGCGCCCACGAGCTGTGGAAGAAAAGAACTAGGAGAAGGTTGAGGAGCCGGCCAGAGGTGAAGAGGAAAATTGGCTGGTGGGTTTTTGGGAGCAACCTCTGAAATTACCTCAAGTGCTAACCGAAAACATGCGCTGAAATACTTAATAAAGCACTTGGGTGAAAAATTTGTTGAAAGTTGTTTTGACAGAGGTTCCCTTGCCCCTGAAGTACAATCCAACAATTCCTGTTTCACGTCGAGATTAAATATCCCACATTTTTTTGTGTATTTTTAGAACATTTTTCCAAAAACTCGAGTTTTAAACAGCGAATGAAGTTTTTGATTATTTCACCTTCGAAAATTGGCTACAAAGTTTTTTGTAGGATTCACACCCTAGAAGTTATTTTAAGGTTCATTTCTTCGAAATTTCCTACCATTTTTCTGAAACGCAAAATAAAATGTGTCAATTTTTGAGATTATAAAAAAATTTGGTTTTTTATATAAATATTTGAATATTAATTTATATTAATTTAAAAAATATTGCTCTGGAAGAATAATAAAACCTTCATATTTTTCGAATTAGCACTACACCTCAGAATTTGTGGTGGATTTTGGAACTTCCCTCGTTTCTGAA